TATATATATATATATATATATATATATATATATATATTGTAAGAAAATATTATTATAAAATATAATGCATAATACCTTGGTAGGTATAACATTACAAAACATCATCATACCAACTCAAGCCGGTTTCACCTCCAACAACTACCTAATTATTCTGCAACCAACATCTACCTTAAAACGCATGGACACAAACCCTAATTTCGAAATCCAAGATCAAGGCAACCCTCATCAAACAACTTCCCGTAATCCCCCAACGCAAGAGAACTCACCTCATCCTCTCGCCAGAACCAGTCCTCATACTTGTACCACCTCATCAGCCCTTCATCCCTGCTCATCCTCTCGCAGGCCACGCACGACCCGCTCTGGCAGTGAAAGAACTCCCGCAACCTCGCCGCCTTGCCGCGAATGCTCCCGTCGAGCTCCCGGAAGACTCTCTTCTTTCCGACGACGGCGGCGGAGGAGGAGGAGGAGGAGGAGGTGGTGGTGGTGGTGGTGGTGGGGGTGTCGAGGAGGAGGCAGTGGGAGATGTTGAGGGTTTCGAGGTGGTCCATGCAGTCGAGGATGAAGAGTAGGGCTTCGCGGATGAGGATGGAGCAGCGGAGGCTGAGGACGCGGAGGTTGGGGAGGTTGGTGGCGATGGAGAAAGCGAAGTCGACGTCGAAGGTGCCCATTATTTTGAGATGGGAGAAGTTCTTGCAGCTGCGGCGGATCTCCTCCATGATGTAGGAGGGATGCGCGATGCTCGGCATTGTTAGGGATTCGAGGCGCTCCCACATGCGGACGGCGTGCCGGATGCCGTCCTTTGTGATGCGGTTCCAGGCGGGCATTACCAGTCTCTTTAGATTGGGGCATCTGGTTTGTGAGGGAAGTGGGTCAAATGAAAATGTGTATTTCACTTTTAAAAAATTAATACTACTGGTATTTTCTTACGTAATAATAATGATTTGAGAGATATGCATGTAAAAAACAAAATTTAGGTGTAGATATGTAAATAGATAGGAATTGAGTGGTATGAGTGTAAAATGCATGTTCGGGTGGTATGAATGTAAAAAAAAAAAAAGGTAAAAAATTTAGGTGTTGGATATTTAAATACATAGGAATTGAGTGGTGTGTATTTGAATGTTTCATTTTTATATACAAAACCCCTTGAAATATTGATATTTATAAATTAATCATCGGGTGATTTTTTTGAACTAATGAACTGATGTATTTACGCATGCAATGATCAAATCATTGAGAATTTGATTAAAATTAAAAATATGACAGGTTTTACAATGAATTTTGATATGACTGGGAATGTGAAAAAGGGTTGAAAGAGGATGGCCGATCTGTAAATAGCAAGTTTCCGAGGGTGGTCTTTTTTTTAAGATTTACTCACATACCACTCAATTTTTAAGCATTTGCGTATCAAACATCAAAATTTCAATTTTTGCATACATATCGTCTTACCTGTGCATAAAAATGTATTTCTAACTCTCTAAAAGTTAAAAATAGTGATCTTTTTTTATGTGATACGAATGATTTGAGTGGTATGAATGTAAAAGATAAAACTTAGGTGTTAGATATGTAAATACATGGGAATTGAGGGGTATGAATGTAAATGCCCCTTAAAAAAAAAAAAAGGGGGAAAAAGAATAGGATGACTGAATGAAAGGGCCTACAAAGGTACAAAACCTTTCTACAGGACTTGAAAAGCGAATAGCCGCTTATAGCCAGATTTTTAAGTAGGAAGTTATGCATACATACCGTTTAGTACTTTGTATTTACATATTTAACACACAAACTTCAATTTTTACATCAATCCACTTATCAGTTTTTAGTTTCGCACATAGTAAAAATTGAAGTTTTGGTATTAGGCATATAATTGCCACTATTTTACATTGATAGCTATGTATTTACATATAACACCTAAACTTTATCTTTTTTTACATTTACAGCACCCAAGTCTTTCACATCACATAAAAAATACTATTATTTTAACATTTCATGCATGGATATAAGGTGGCAAATGTAAAAATTGAAGTTTCGGTATTAGACATGTAAATACCACTATTTTAACATTGATACCTATGTATTTACATATAACACCTCAACTTTAGTTTTTATATTTATGGCACCCAAATCATTCACATCAAGTAAAAAATACTAATATTTTAACTTTTCATGCATGGTTAAGGACTTACATATGTAAAAATTGATGTTTCGCATGCATTTACATACATACCCACCAATTCTTATGTATTTACATATGACACCAAGACTTTATTTTTAAATTTACAGCACCCAAATCTTTCACATCACATAAAAAGTATCACTATTTTAACTTTTCATGACATAGATAAGGCCACACATTCGTAATAATTGAAGTTTCGGTGTCGGACATGCAAATACGTAAGAATTAAGTGGCATATCTATATGTAAATCTTCCAAAATAAAAATTTGCAAAGGATTGAATATGTAAAGAATGGAGGGTTGATTAAAAATTGAGAGTACCTTTCAGCTATGTAACCAAGATGCTCATCCTTCATGTAAAGATTGAAATGGAAAATTAAGCACGACACGGCTCCTCGGCTGAGCGACATCGCAATCCTCAAGGCTTTCATTAATTTCCTATCCGACCTGTCGTCCACCCAAATGAACGGCGAAGCCCTTGTCTGTATGAAGTTGGATTTCAGGAGACCGAGGTCAAGTGTGTTCCAAAGTAGTGGATCCGAACAGGCCGAACGCCACGCATGGCAGACGAGAGCAACCGGAGCAAGTTCGATCATGTTCAACTCCTTGAATATCTTGACGAGGACATCGGTTTCCATGTCCTCCCATCTCCTCGATGCTGATTTGATTTCGGCCATCCTTGTCAAAATTAGGATGCTGCGACAAGACAAAGGGCCGTCTTGTAAATCGAATTCATTATGGCATCAAATGTTTGAAACAACAAAGGCGCATTTACTTACATACATAGCACAAATTTCTTATCTATGTACATATCTCACACCAAAGTGCCATGCATGTAAATGAATGTCAACATAAGGATTGTGTGCCAGGTATGTAAATACATACATGCCAGTCAATTCCTATGTATTTACATATTGAAAATCTATACTTTAAACTTTAGGCACATGCCACCTTATCTATGCTTGAGAAGTTATATTTCACTTTTCAAAAGTTGAAGTGGTATTGTTGATGTGTTCTGAAAGATTTGGGTGGTATACAAAATATAAATTTAGTTAATCTTCTTTAAACTGATCTAGTCTAACAACATACACAATCAAATAAATCACTAGACTCCCATTAGTACAAACCAAACAACAATAGCATCAGCAGCTCATGGAAATACGCCAAAAAACTGCAAAAAAAAAGCTGATAAATTAAGGGAAATTTACATACATAGCACACAATTCTCATGTATTTACATATCTTACACCCAGATTTTAAATTTATACAGATAGCACTCAAATCTTCAATTTCGCATAAAAAAATAGCACTTTTGCCACTTTTTAAAAGTGAAATACGCATGTATAGGTTTAAAGCATCAAAATGCAATGTATGTAAATATGAAAGTTTACATGTAAGATATGTAATTACATAAGAATTGTGAGCTATATACATCAATTTTCCAAAAATTAAATTCTTGCATTCTGATTGATATTATGCAAGTCACGTGGCGCATGTACAGATAGCAAACAGGAAAAAAACATTAACAACCACGACAAATTGCTTTGAGCTTGACCACAATCATAGCTAAATTTACTTGATTCTCAGCTAAGATAATGCGGTCAGCAACAAAAACAAGTTATATATTTTATACATGACATTATGTTGTTCTCAATTATAAAAAAACTTGCATACATGCAAAAACTGTAAACTGTATGTGGGGTAAGTAACCACACACAAGACATTATGTGTAAAAGAATGTCATTATCTAAATACATAAAAATCAGGAAGGTGTTATTCATCATTGCCATCGACGTCATAAATAAGTAATTCAGCATTGAAATAGTTTTTATAGAAATGCTTTCGCCGCTCCACAAGTAACGAAAAACCGCCACAAAGTAAAGAAAAAATAATAGAGAGGCTGAAGAAAAGAGGGTGTTTGAGAGAGAGAGAAAGGAATGATTGAAGAAGACGTAGAGAGATATGGAGGGATGTAAAATTTCTAGTCAAAGGAAGCATACTTCATCAATCCAAACAGAATAAATAATTGCTTTTAAGGTTCTGCAACTCATACCTTACCTATTTTTAATCTTTTCCTCTTCAATTTTTAGGGAAGAAATATTTTTTTTGCTATCATAATATCTTCTTCCTCTTTTTCTCTTTTAATTTGGTTACCAAAAAACCAGCTGCGAATGTCCGAAGATTTTGATTTCTTTTGATGTCCGCCAAATTTGCTAATTCTAAAATAATCATCAAAGCTTCGTACTAAACACAATCAATCTGATAAATGGTAAGAATACTACAAATTCCTTCGTAAGGAGTTATATCAAGCAAAAATTAAATTCATGTTGAAATGATTGAAGGGGTGGGAAATAGCTATGCCATGTATTACGTGTTCGAGGAGAATGATAAAGATGCATCTAGGACCAGAAGTAGTTATTAACTAAAATTTAAAATTTAAAATTACAACAACAACAACAAAACATTTATCCCACTAAGTGGTGTCAGCTACATGAATCTTTTTTCTCCATTGCGTCCTATTTAATATCATATTTTCATTTAATTCAAATAAATTAAGATCATTTTTTATCCAATATGCCCAAGTCATCCTAGTTCTACCTCTAACTTTCTTAACATAAGTCAAATCTAAAACATCTACACTTCTAATCAGATCCTCTGATGGTAGATGTTTAATGTGACCAAACCATCTAAGACGACTCTCTCTAATTTTGTACGTCATTGAAACTACACCAACCCTAACACGGATATATTCATTTCACACTTTGTCTTAAAGTGTAAAGCCACTCATCCACCTAATCATTCTCATCTCGGCAACACTTAACTTAGTTTTATGCTTCTCTTTTAAAGGCCAACATTCAGCGTCATATAGCATTGTAGGTCTCACCACCATCTTATAAGTTAAAACTTAAAATTAACATACTGAAAATCATACAAATTAGTCAAAATAAATAAAATTAAACAATGAATCAAGCACAAGGCCTTAGATAAAACTCCCCTAAAATAATTAACCAAGACGAGCATACTCGCAATTACAAAGCAAGGTTAAAGGGGAAGTAGTCTTCAATATGAACTATAAGAAATATGGCTGGCGATTCAAGGGACGCCTAAAGCGCCATGACAAATATGTAAGACATAGTCAAGAAGTCTCCATCATCATTCTCATTAATCTTATCCCAACTATTAGGAGTCGGTTGCAAATCCCAAGAGCCAAATAAATGGAGCCAATGATATCCACATAAACAAATGAGAAACATAATCATTCGCACACATATACGCCCTATCACTTTGATTTATAAAAATTTTAAAGGGCGTTTATATATATAGCACACAATTCTAATGTATTTACATATCTCACTCCCAAAATTTCATATTTACAAACATGACACTCAAATCTTTAATACCACATCAATAATAGCACTATTATCACTTTTTAAAAGTGAAATACACCTTTTTACGCGTAGGTTTAAAGTACCAAAGTGCTATGTGTGTAAATATGAAATTGTATGATATATAAATATATAAGAATTGTGTGCTAGGCATGTAAATTTCCCAATATTTAAACAGTAAACAAACATGTTAGGCTATGTATGTATATTTCCCAAAATTTAAACAGCAAATATACATGTTGTTTGAAGGGGAATCCTTGCTTTTCAAAAAAAGGTTTACAAACATTACCAACTTGATAGAGGACATTAAACCTCTCTGCTTATGTGCTCAAATCAACATACGATACGACCAAAGATCACCAAGAATCACAAAATATAACATTTGAAATTTACGTACGATGTTAAAGTCCAAACATGCTCCAACAATGCCATATATTCAAGAGCAGATGTCACAATAATACATAGAAAAAAAAAACTTATTAATCAAGATATTTAGATGGTCTTCCAAGTAAAAATAATAAATATGTATTTACATATCTAACACCTACAGTTCAATTTTTAAATACATACCACCTTACCTGTGCATAAAGGTGTATTTCAATTTTAAAAAGTTAAATAGGTGGTATTTTTTAGGACATGTAAAAGATTTGGTTGGTAAGAATGTAAAAAACAAAGTTTAGGCGTTAGATATGTAGATACATAGGAATTAAGTGATATGTATGTAAATGTCCCAAAAAAAAAATAAACCTCAATGTTTCAGGAAACCAAAGGAACACTCATATTATTACTAATTAGGGCAAGATATCGCCCAATAAGCACACAATGCTCGAGTTTTAACAAAATTCAAGATATAAATAAAAAATCAAATTTATGTTACAAAAATTGACAGGAAAGATTAGCATAAGAAAAGACAATGTTCGCTCATCCGCATCAAACACATATACTTACAGAGCGTTCTCATGTGATAGTTTTACTTCAGATTCGCTCAATGCTCGTCTTAAGGCGCAATGCTCCGAGCATGGGTCACACGTGTGCTAGATAAATCGCATATGTTTAAGTGCAAATTTTTAATATCACCTCCTGGAAAAAAGTAGTTCAAAAGAAAATGAAATTAAATGATCAAGTGAGGTAAGAAAAGTAAAAAAGCTAACCAAGCTATTTTGCTCACCAGATAAAGAGTCATTTTTCATAAATTAATTAAGAAGCATACCCATCAAAGTAATCTTAATTATTTTAACAGAAACTAAATAATTTTTGAGATATGAGAATGTAATAGATAATATGTGAAGTGTATGGGGAGAAAATATACAGGGTAAACAACATGATTTGGTGATGAATCTCGGTCAAAGGAAAAAAACAAAAGGCCTATAAAATATTATAGTGGGAAGGCAAACATTCCAGCATTCCAAAATTAAGATGTCGCACAAATAAATTTTTCAGAATCTAAGGGGTTAAAAAGCAAATTTGGATTGATCACATATTAATGCTAAGATAACCATGGAAATTAAATTTTATGAAGTGGAACTCAAAAATTTAAAAAAATAATAAAAAAAAGAATCCAAACATGCGGTATAACTCATTTAATAAAACCATTGCAAGTTAGAAAATTTGTGGTAATGGATTGGGATTTTACGTCCTGGCATTTTACAATGATCTCACACACAAATAGATAGATGAAAAGATTACAAGAGATATCAAACATTTTTACGTGGAAAATCTGGAAAAAAATACCACGGTATCTAGCCCATGTAAGAGAATACACTATGTTGATAAAGATCGCAAAGATTCACTCTTCCCTTTAATTGAAAATTGTCGAATTACAAAAAAATACACTCAAACATGATTTCCTCTAATGGTAATTGAGCTTGAAGTAATAAAAGGACGATAACAATAACTGAGTGATGGGATTCGAACAACGATATCGATTAGACAACAATCAAGTCATAGTGGAGTGATGATGACGACAATCAATCAACAATAAACGAATGATGATAGTAGAGCAAGGGTGACTGGATGGAGGTGATTAAATGATGATGGTCGAATAATGACAATCGCACAACGATGGTTATACAATGACATTTAGGTGATAAGAATTAGGCAGCAATGCTCGAGCAATAGTTGTTCAAATGATGACAATTGGACGTCTATGGTTTGACAACAATAATTGGGCAACAGTGGCGGGACAATCACAATCAAGCGATGATGCCTCAAATTTTGTCGGTATTGTATGTCAACTCGATCTCAATAGTTCATCTAATCTCCAAATTTTCTCAAAACTTAAGCAAATGAACCTTTCATGTGGAAAAATATTTATTTATAATTTTTAAGAGTGAGAATTTGGTAATTCTGACAAAATTCCTAAAACACTTTATCAAACGGCTTGTATTAATTCATTAGATCATAAACCAATCTATTAACATTTAAACGACTTAATGGTACAAATGAGTGATTTTTAAATAGGTGGATTCCTTTCGTCGAGATGCTCTATTTGATTATAAATATGTATGATCTAAAGGAAATTTGGAACTCTAATTATCATCCCATGGTTTTTAAATATGCTTTAAATGTTTGATTTGGGTTTGTTTGAGCTTCGATTGGATCACTTCACATCTTTAAGTTTGTCTTATTGAGTCAATCAGTTTGACTGTGAATTTGTTGAAATTAAATTTGGGGTGATCTTGAACTTGTCTCCAAAAGTTATCCCAATTGATATGCATCAAAATTAGTGCCTGCTCAAGTGATTTTTTTTTTTTTTTTTGCATATAAAAAAAATGATGAAGTAGGAAAATCCAAAAATAAAAGGGGATTCATATAGATACCAAAAAATTCTTATGTGTTTTATATCCAGCAGCTAAATCTTTATATTTATTGATAGAGCACTCTGATTTTTAAAAACATGTAAAAAGCTCATTAATATTAACTGGTCTAAGGTCATAAACTCCTTCTCATGTCCATGATTTTATGTGACGCTATGGTATTATATGAGCAAATAGAAAAATTGAGTTGTTAAATATGTAAATACCTAGAAATTATGTGATAAGTATGTAAATCCCCTAAGAAAAAGAGAGAATTAGAAGAGAATCCTAATAAAATTGCTAGAATGGCTTCTCACAAGAAACGAGATAAAAGACGTGTATTCAAAAGAATCCAAATCAATCAAACCGACATGTAAACTAATTCAACAAGTCAATTAAAAAGTTGATTTTTTCAAAAAATATTCATCGTTCCTGCTAAATGCTGAGAAAATGTTCAAGATGGCTTCTCAAAATCCTTTGAATGTTTCCTTCGATTAGTAGATTTTGTTACAGGAAACACAACAAGATAGGTGAAATCTTAAAAGATGAACACGAATAAACAAAACAACAAAAAACGTTTTCAAAAATATGTATAAATTTAACAGAAATGGGGAATTTATCATGCAAGGATTCATCAAAACCTACATTATGAAGAGGCTTCAACACGCCCAATCATTTCTGATGAAATCCTCAACTTAGCAATGCCTGATTTTTCCCACCCTAAGCCTAATCACAAATTAGAACCACCAAATTCAAAGCTCAGTACTGTACTTCTCCCAAATTGTCAGCCAATTTTAACTCTCGCATCATGCCCGATTGACAAAATTCAATTAATTAAGCCTCAGTCTCCCTGACCCAAATCTTGATAAGGCTCTACATAAGATCCAGAATGGAGTGAGATCTCCACCATATTCGCTCAAGTCCTTCCCCTTAAACGGAGGAGAATGCGATTACAAGAAAGCGGAATGGGAAAGAAAATAAAATGTTCAGACAAGTACTGTACCTCCGAACAAGGCGTTCTCAAACCCACGAACCTCGCCGGAGAAACCTCCGGCTACAACAACTTCCGGCGAGCTCCTCGCCGGCGGCACAACCTTCCGATCTGCCCACCACTCGCTCTCGAACTTTCCTCTCCCGCTCCACTCGGCTCGGTTACTGCGGATCCCGAGGTTGACCGGGGTGTCTTCTTTTTGCCTCGCTTTTATTAGTGTAGGGTTCTAATAGAAAGCCAATAATTGTTACAAAAGAAAATTAAAAAAAAAACGGTTTTTATTTATCAAACGCAAACCCTAGATATTATTTTTTTTTTAATTTGAATATTATTATATGTTGAAGTCAATTTATTTTTTAAGGATTTTGCAACCAATAATTTAATTTTGGCTTTATGCATTTGATGAAATGTAAAGCTTTTTATGAATAGAGTAGTCCTAAATATCATTCTAAATTTAGAAAGACTCCTTGAATAAAATAGTTCTTGTGATATTTGACCAAAATATTTTTTCATTGACATATAAGCATATTTGTGTTTAAGGGTGGCATATCAGGTTCACGTGTTGGATTACATGACATGAATAGTACACTGGTCAGACAGTCCAACACGAACATGACCTGTCTTCAACTCATTAATCTAAACCTGACTCGTATAACCAATTTAACATATGAAATAATTGTTATTTGGATAGTGATTTATTGTGGGTCTATTTCGAGTTGAGGGGTCAACCTAATCTCGACTTAAAATATTAAAAAAGGGTTATGATTTTAACCAACCCAAAATTTATATGGGTCAACTTGAACTAATATTTTTTTTTAGTTGGATTCGGGTCGAGCTGATGTGTCACTTTAATTTCTTACACCCCTACTTAAATTACAAAATTAATATATGACTATTGAACAAAAGAGCACAAAATATTTTCACTCCACGTTTAGAAGTTCATTATTAGATACTCTTAAAAGAGTATTATGAGTTGATCAGTTGTCATATCGTTGAATTGCCCAGATCCATAAATTACCTAACTATCGAACTGGTCAGTTTTTGAATTACTGAATTGCCTAACTGCCACACTCTCCACCTGCAGATTGCCAAAAATCTAAATTGTTGAATTGCCCAATTGCATAATTACCAAGTTGCTAAACTACCGAGCTGTCGAATTGTCGAACCATCTAATTACCAAATTGTTGAACTAGCAAACTGTCTAACTATTGAAGTGATCAAATTGTCTAGCTAGAGAATTGGTCAAATAGTCGAAGTGGTTGAACTACTGAACTGTCAAACTGTTGAGCTACCGACCTGTCGAACTAACAAACTAATGAATTAGTCAATCGTACAACCGTTAAATTGTCAAATTCTCGAACTGCCACGTTTAACTATATGATGAGACATGTCATCAAGATGTAAGACTTGACATAAAGTTGTAAAACATAACACAAAGCTGTGGGACATAATATAAAGCCGTTGAACATGACATAAACCTATAAGATAAAACATGTAACTACTGGATATGACATAAAATTATTGGATATGACTTAACATTATATACTTTTACATAAATTTTTATATCATGATAAAAAGACACCTCATGACTTATAAATAAGGTAAAAATGTAAATATGAGAGGGAGGAAGGCAAGGCTCTCTCTTCACACAGGCCGCTCCTCTCGCTTTCTCTCTTCCTTATATGTTTAATGTTAATAGGATTTGAGCACAACCAAAGAACATTATGGAATCCTACATTCTAAAAAGTTTCAACAACTACAAAATAAAAAGCTTATGATATCATTTATATGTATCCTTTAACACACACACACACACACACCCTAAAAAGGCCTTCCAAGCTGCCCAAAAGGTTGAATCTTTGAGTTGCTCACTTGTCTAATTACTCAAATGTCGAATTATTAAATTGCCCAATTGTCTAATTACCTAACTGACCAATTGATTAATCGTCAAATTATTTAATTTCCCACCTACTTAATTATTTAGCCACTGAACTGGCCAACTGCTGGTTGAATTGTTGAATTGTTTGACTGTCTGATTACCTAACTATTGAATTGTTGAATTCCCAAGCTGTCAATTTGCCCAACTTTCAAATTGAAAAATTGTCTAACTCTCAAAATGGTCAAATTATTTTACTGGAGAACTTGTCAAACTACATAGTCGGAGAACAGATCAAACAGTCTAACTGTCCATTTAAAGAAGTGGTCAAACTGTCAAGTTCAAGTACATAGAGAGACATAACAAAAAATTGTAAAGCAAGACATAAAAATACAAAATATGACATAAAGCTGCAAGATATGACATTAAACTATTAAGCACAATGTAAAATTGTTGAATATGCATAAAATTGTTGGATATGATTTAATATTATGCATATTTATATATTTTAATACCATGATAAAATGACACCTTGTATATTATAAATATATGTCAACTATAAAAATTAGGGGTAGGAAGGCATGTTCTTTCATCCCATGGGCTTCTCCTTCTGTCTCTTTCTCACTTTTTGGCTCAATGCTTATATAAACTGGGTATAACCCATGAACATTACAGGACAATGTATCTGAAATGATTCGACATCGTTAAAAGAGTAGTGAGTGTGGACGTATGTCTTGATTCTAAAGTCACGCGTAAACATCTCTAAAAACACAACAAATGTCATGGTAGAGGAAACTTCACCGAATGATCTAAGATATTTTATCCATAAATATTTCATAATTATATCATTTAAATTCTACTATCTTTATTTTGTCCATATAAATTTTCATTGGTGCTTTTATTTTAAAAATCAAGAAATTTGTTCCCTTGTAAGCAAGCTTTATGAGATGAAAAGAAAAATTGTCCAAATTTGTAGACCTACTCAACTCAATAGCTGAAAATTAGGGAAGATGTTGGAAAAATATCTTTCCAAAGTATAATTCAATTGAATAATATATGAAGTCAGTCAACCTAGGGACTGAAGGCCATGAGATCTCACCTAAAATAAAGTTGACATTTTACAACAATTATTCCCAACAAGTCCATCCAAAGCGTCATCATGCGAAACAAACACTGATTTTAATGAGATTAGTTTAATTCATTCATAATTGAGTTATATTATAAGTAAACAGTGCATCCATTTTCATAAAAAATATGATATAACTTATTTCTTATTGATAATACTCGAGGAACTCTCCTTATTAGAGCACAAAGTCAGCTAATAAAGTATTTGAAGGTGAGCCATAATAACCCTAGAATGGAATCCTATACTGTAGATGAACTTTATCATGCTTTATTATTTAGGACCTATCATGCTTCCATTAACTAAAACATCTCATGCACAATTATTTAGAGCTTATCTGACATCAACTTTTATTTTATTTTTTTTATCAAAAAGGGTTTATTTATAGTTTTTTTTTAACTTTTAAAAATATATCATGTTATTCTTAAAACCCTTAAACTGACACATTCACTTATTTTGTGTTTTAAAAAATAATCACGGATGATGACTATCACTGTCATTATTGATCATCACTTTGATCAACATTGATTATCATTTTGAACTATCACCATCAACAACTATTTTCATCAACAACCACTTTCAGACATGATCAATAACCACCTTTGGTCAGTGCAGTCACATCTCTAACGTCTCAAAATAAATTAAATTATTTTATTTTCAATAAAAATCAAAAAATCTTGATATATATATATATATATATATAAAAAGTTATCCCAAATGCCCCTTAAAAATTTATCTATCGTTAAATAAAAAACAAATGTTGTTATCAAGTTTGAAAAAATATTCTTGATTTTAAGGAATTTTTATAACTTACATTAATTTAATGTTGTTGGATTTGTTTTTCAGTTTTTTTTTTCTTCGGGTTTCTCTTTGACATAATTTACCCGTTTTATGTTTCGTGCTTTGTTTTATTCCATGTGTTATTAAAATTCAACTAGACGTTGATTTATACTTCAAATCTTGGTTGTAAATTTAATAATTTTTTGTTGGTTTGGAAATTTAAAAATTGTATTCCTAATTATATTAGGAATTTTTACAATTATTACTTCTAGTTTCCCTCACAAGATTAGTTATTCTCTACCTTATTCTATGTGGTTGTCCTGGGTTTTTATTAGTTGAGCTAATTCTTGTTTTTGTTGTTGGAATTTTTGACTTGATATTGAGTGGGTTTTTTGGCTTGATTGGTTTTATGTTGTTAGGCAATATTTCTTTCTACTTTGTTCTTTTTTGTATGACGAGTTTGGTTATGTGCTTTTATACCTCGATCGTTTCTAAATGTTGAGTTTGGTATTGAGCATTGATGAATTTAAATCGTTACTATTTCTAACTATATTTTTTATATATTCGAATTTTAGGATGAAATTTTAATACCATTCTGTAGGTAAGTTCTGAGCTCTAGTGGTTAGTTCTCCCTCTTATCTTTTGTTTTATTTTTGTTTTGCCTTCTTTGGTTTTTTGATCTTTTCTTACTCTGCTTGTTTATAGTCTGTTCTCTATTATTTGTGCTGCTCTCTCATTTGTTTTTATTTGCAGAGCTTAGTGTTATTGGTTGACCTTGTGCTACCATTGAGATTGCTGTTGCTTTTATTGTTGCTATTGTAGTGTTGTTGAAGTGTCGTTACAGCTCGGTTGCTATAGGAGTGAAGTTAGAGTTTTGTTGATGTTGGAATACTATTAGGATCTATTTGAGAGAGCATCCAGACTCCGTTTCACCATAGCAACAGTTGTCAGAAGGCCAACTTTTTGTTTGTGGGATCAAATTCTTCAAAAATTCGTCTGTCGTGATGTAATTTTTTACACTTTTGAGATCGCATTTTTGGCCTTATGTTCCGACGTTTTGGATCGTGGTATCATGCACTATTCGTCTTTGATGGCTGAAGCCACCATAGATAGGGGCCCCATGAACCTATTGTCTTCGTTGGAGATTGCCTCAAAGCCCTTTCAATTTCGTCTATAAGGCCATTGATGATGGCGACAACATTTGCAAATGCAGTAGAGGACTTTCGAGTTCCTAACGTGTGGATTAGCCGCCCTCTCTCAGAGATCCTAAGGGAGCTCGATAAGGCAAGGGTCGAAGACAACATAGCATCAAAAGTGCTTTCAGCTCCGTTGCTTCGCCTCCCGGCCTTTGTTCCACCAAATTTTATATTCAAACACCCAACGCGGTTCACCTACCGTAACTTTATAAAAGAGATTTTTCCGTGGATGCTTTTAGAGTCCGTTTGGGGCAGCTTATTTGGTGTGGTGGCGCGTATTGAAAACACACATGACCTGTTTGGGTAAACTTTATTTTGGCAGCTTATGCATTTTCAAAACGCTAAAAACAACGTTTTTCACACTGGAGACTTTCTGACAACGATCAGACTTTTCCAAAAAAATAAAAATTTGTAGTAGTCATCGCACATAGCTTATCAACATATTATTTTTAATCAGTTTATTAGCAAATTATTCAATAAGCTGCAGCTGTCCCAAACAAACTCTTAAACGAAATTTTTACAAAGATAAAACTCTGTTAAACAAACCCTTATAGTTCTGTTTTTATTTGCGGTGTTTTTTGGATCTCTATTGAGTTGTAATTTAAGTTTTTTTTGTTGACTCTTTGTTTCTTATGAATAAAACTTAGCCTCACCCTCACGTTCTTTTAGAAAAATAAAAATGAGGGCATTTACATAAATAACAACCAAATCATATTTATTTGCATACCCGACACATAAAATTTGTTTTTTATTTAATTATTTATATCATCAAAATCTTTCATTCCGCTTCAAAAAATACCACCATTTTTAACATTTAAAAAGTAGAAAACCCCTTCTCAAGCATAAGTAGGCGGTATGAATGTAAAAAATAAAGTTTATGCGTTACATATGCAAATACATAGAAATTGAGGGATATTTATGTAATCTTCCAAAAAAAAAAAAGGAAGAACATTTGTCATATTCTAACCCTGACCTTTATTATTCATCTATATTTATTTTGCTCTATAAAATTTCTACATGGGATGTCAATTAGATTGATAATATTTAGATTTTTTTAGTTTATTAAGACAAAATTTTTGGACATATTTGAATAATAAATAATTAAATATTTTCCTTTAAAATAATTTTGGCTATTCATATAATTTGAATATTTGATTGCCTTCTCTAACTTAATAGAATGCATGCCATTATTTGGCATTATGCTATAGCAACAAATAATTTATTTATTTATAGGTATTATGTAAAGTCCAAAAGATTTTCATATTTATTCATTTTGTTCTTCATATGTAAATCTTCTTTTTTTAGGGACATTTACATACATACCCCCCTATTTATATATATTTATATATCAACATATAAATTTTGATTTTTGTTCTCTCATATCACTAACAAAAATGCAATGTCATATACATAAAAATCGAAGTTTATCTATTAGATATGTAAATATGTACGAAGTAAGTAACATGAATGCAAGTACTATTTTTTAATGTTATGCGATTTTTTTTTTTCATCTGCTAGAGAACGATTGAAGATTATGATATATTTGAGGCAACTGCATTTGTTTGAATAAACATTAGGACAGCTGCATTTGTTTGAAGAAGCTTCAGTGATGCTGTTGCAGAAGAGATAACTCTTGTAAAAGTTGTGGCAACTATCATAAATTATTTTATTTTTAAAAAGTCAGGCAATAACTTTCTGTCAACCACCACACTTTGTTAGGTTAGATCATTAAACACAATTTAACGCTGAAGTTTTAAAAAAGAAATATATAAAAAAATAACTTTATCAAATGACCACTGCATTTATATGTAATATCTTAAATTCAATTTCTACATACATATATGTTTGGAAAGGTGTATTTGACATTTTAAAGTTAAAATAGCTGTATTTTTTGATATAAATGTAAAAGAAATAAATTTAGATGTTACGGATGTAAATATACAAGATTTGAGTGGCATGTATGTAAATGGACCCAACGTGAAATTTCTTTCTTGGGAGCAACCGTAGAAATATCTCCTCCACACATTTCCAGCCACACGACCATAATCAACTACATACAGCACCTGGTTCCGCACGTACGAGTCGACACGTGCGACGCCTGCCGGTCGCCGCTTCTGTGTTCCCACTTTATTCCCACGAATCCGCACCGGTTCTTCTCGATCGATATAGCCTATTAGCCTTGAACTCATGCTCAAGCTTCTGCTTGGCTGAGAGCAGATCTCATCATCTCTCGAGCATCGCTGCCGAAGAGGGAGCTAAATGTGGAGGTTTGGCCGTGGAGCCTGGAATCTCCGGCAGATGCGGAGGTTTTCCGTTGCCGTTCCCGGCCCATGCATCGTTCAGAAGCGTGGGACGGACATACTGCACGATCCGTGGTTTAATAAGGTATGGTTTGTGTTTTGATCGGATTAGGCGGTGTTGTTGGTTCTGATATGTTTCTGCGGGGAATTCCTTCTCCTGATGTTAGTTTTCTTAGGTTTTTGGGGTGATTTGGAAAATGGGTTTTGGGGGTTGTTGATTTGAGTTTGAGAGAAATGCCTTTGGGTGTTTAATTATGGTAAAATGTTTATGGAGTGGAGATTTGATCTGTTGGTTCTGCGTTTATTTAGTTTTCAGTTTGGGACGCCGATGCGAGTCAGCGCTTAAAAAATGCTGGCGGTTTAATTTGTGTGATTATGTTAATGGATTCTTTCATTTAGACCACTTAATTCTATGGTTTGTCCGCTTTAGTTAATAACGCCGAGGAGATTGGGAGAATGCCATTGTGTAATACGTTTTTTGAGGTAAAATCTATCTTGCAGCTATTTTTTAACTTGATGATCTGATCACTTGCAGGTTTTTCGCTAGTGAAATATCCTCTCATATAATAAGCTTCATCAATTTTAACGGAAACAAGTAATTAAAAATCGAAATAATCAAAATTATGACTAGCAGATTTGTTTGATTATACGATGAATTAGTGGCCTTTTCCTTAACCTTAAACATTGCTTAGTTTGATGAAGTATTAACCTTAACAATACTTTCTAACTTATAAATCACATGCAAAGTTAATATAAACTCTCTGTATGGTTGGGATCATATTCATCATCAATTCTAGAGCTTGATTTTTATTTTTATTTTTTAATTCCAGTTTTTGTTTGTATTTTTTGATAGATCTCATCTAAAACTGTTTGATCAATATGTTTATTTATGTTTTTCATTTTTTCTTCTCTTAGGATACTGGCTTCCCGTTGACGGAAAGAGATAGATTAGGGCTTCGTGGCCTCCTTCCACCACGAGTCATATCATTTGAGCAACAGTATCAACGCTTCAGTAAGTTTTTAGCTTTGAATACTGTGTATGGAAGAAGTTCACTCCGCTCTACATTTTCTTTAATGGCTAGCTTTAACTTCTAAAATAAGCACAATTTCTAGCCTTGTAAATACAAAATGGTTGATCTCAAATCTTAAACATAGCTCATATTTACGTTGCAAAAGAAAAAGAACTCATAATGATGGTAACGGAGAGTTTTAAGCAGAGGAATTAGCAAGTGTTTGAGCAATCATTTGAACATATGTGGTGCAACTTGAATATCATGGCCATATCCTTTGCACTTTGAAAATTGTTTTTTGAGAATGAATTGAAGTCACAAATTTTGTGTCGTCATAGATTGAAAAGAAGCTACTCTTCTTTGTAGCATGAGGAAGCTCTGCGAAGGCCAACTTAGCACTTTATATGATTTTAGGTCAAGGATACAGTCATGATATACAAGTTGTTAAGTTTATTTTTTTATATTTTTAAGAGTGACTATAGGGTTTCAAATCTGTCTCTTGAATATATATTTCAGCCATAAATTTCCTTTTTTTTTCTCTCCTTTTAGTGAATTCATATCAATCTTTGGAATATAATACAAGAGACGAATCGCCCACTGTTGTTGCTTTGGCTAAGTGGAGGATCCTAAATAGACTGCATGACAGAAATGAGACATTGTATTACAGGGTAAGTCCAACTCAATTCAATGCCTCTAAAAAACAAATTTTTTTTTTTTTTTTTTTTTTGCATAGAGCTTTCTATTTGCTTTGATAAATATTAATATTTTTATAATAAATGAATGTTTTTCCTTCCCAGGTTCTTATCGACAACATCAAAGATTTTGCTCCCGTAATATATACTCCAACTGTAGGTTTGGTATGTCAGAACTATGGTGGCCTTTACAGACGTCCACGCGGAATGTATTTTAGTGCTAAGGATAAAGGAGAAATGATGTCTATGATCTATAATTGGCCAGCTAAGCAGGTATGCTTGAATTTTCAGTGCCTTGAAGGTTGAAAGGATGTTTTTTTATTGCGGCATATGATCAGTCTTGGTTGTGAATACTGTTGCATTTAAATATTAGGGACATTTACTTTCATAGCACACAATTCTTATGTATTTACATATGTCACACCTAAAGTTTTATATTTACACATATAGCACTAAAATCTTTAATATCACACAAAAAATAACACCGTTACCACTTTTTAATAGTGAAATACTCCTTTTAATGCATACATTTCAAATACCAAAGTATGTAAATATGAAAGTTTAGGCGTGAGATATGTAAATCCATATGTATAACTTTTGAATAAGAAAATGTTGTTAAGGACATGAATATTTGATACACAGCTGATGAGATGTTGTATTTGAATTCTGCTGATATATGCTTTTGAATTTTAAACAATATAGGTATGGCTTATAGTTATATGGACATATTGCAAATTTTTTAAATATTGTCATCGCTGTCTTTACAGTTGTGTTATGTTGATTTCCTTTTTTTTTTGTTGTTGTTGTTGTTTTAGAAGTCAACCATATTGTTAGTTTATAGGCTTATCTTTAATGTGTCTCCTGTTCACCTTACCCTGTGCCTTTTTTTGGCATTTGGGGCTTTACGGTGGTTGTTGCCATACTTGTTATAATGGTATACTTTTAAGTATGGAATGCTTGGACAAAAGTATGACGCTTGAGTTGATATTGTGGCAGTATTGTATTGTGCACCTCTTCAAGTCTTTTCACGACATCTTTGAAAAAATGACCACATTAGGTGGGCGACGCTAATCTTCTAAACTTTTAGCTACAGAACGTGGTGGTTAATTGTCTTCAATATTAATGGCATTATATTCTATTTTATTCGGGCTTGGTGAGTGTTGAGTGGAAAAAAATTATAAATTTTCAATGTTTCAGGCAATTCTGCCTAGTGTTGCCTTTGTGCATGGTTTGTGTTCTATAAACAGGGAAAAAAATGAAATCTGATTCCCTAAAATCTGCCAAAATACCTGTTTTACTCGTGGTGAAATTTTATTTTTTAAGTGCTTTAAACTGTTGTTGTTTTTGCCCTTTTTTCTAAACAAAATATACTGCCTTTTTTAATTTTCTTCTTCTTCAAAATATTTTGGAAGACTTATTACATGATTGTGCTTGGAATTTCCACTGACTTTTTCATACCTGACCCCTCTTTAGGATCTTATCATCAATCTCATGACTTTCTTGATTTTCTTTAGGTTGACATGATTGTCATCACCGATGGGAGCCGTATTTTGGGACTTGGTGATCTTGGAGTTCAAGGAATTGGAATACCCATTGGAAAGCTTGACATGTATGTTGCTGCTGCCGGCATGAATCCACAAAGGGTATCTCTTCCTCCTACTCTCATATTGTGTATGGTTTAAAGTATTCATTTCTGTGCAGGCTTGCAATTTTCTTGCAAAATGTTTGTTCATGTTTTCTTATTTTAAAGATCCATTTGGGACCACTTTATGTTTTTTATTTTTGTTTTGGTTTTTAGTTTGTTTTATTTTTGTTTTGTTTTCTATTTTCTGTTTTTAGAAAACGTGTTTGACATTCTTATGATTTATATATATTTTTTTAATACAAAACATGTTTTGGTTAGGTATTTTTAATTTTTTTAGAAGAAAAAAAAATCATATTTTTTTATAAAACGGTTGGGTTCATGTGTGCTCTAGTATTAAGCGCTGCCGCCCATGGTATGTATGATGTCTTCTTTGTTTCACCCAGCACGAAGTATTACCTGTTGACTGGAGGCGACGACAGGCGCCGGGTAGCAGCTGCTGTCTGCGGCAAGCGGCGGCGGTTTGTAGGATTCGTTGTTTTTGGTATTTTAAAAATAAACAAAAACATGGTTTTTAAAAATAGAATTGTTCCTCCAAAAAATAAAAATAGAACAAAAAATAAAACAAAAACAGATAAACAAATGTTATTTTTGTTTGTTTCCTATTTTTTGTTTTCAAAAACAAAAAACAAAAGGCAAAAATTGATCCCAAACAGCCCCTAAACTTCTGATTTACGAGGATATCAATCTTTGAATCATTTTTTTATTATTTTTGTACTTTTACTTTATGATAGTTTGGGTTATCACCGAATCTACAAGTATAGTGGAGAAAAATTATGAGAATTTAAGCAATAAAAGGGAAACAAATAAAATCATCGGGCAGACAAATTAATTTTGACAAAAGCAAATTTTTGATGTAGCACTTTTTGTTAAAAAATAAGAGCACCAAACAAGTCAATAACAAATTATGTGTATGAAATAGGATAAAGAAAATTACTCAGTTAGGGAAATTAGAATTTAAGTTACAAATGTAATCATACATTCAACTTGCACTCATAAGATTAGTACTAGAAAGATAAAAAATTAATCAAGTCAGAAGTTCTTAAGAATATGCCTTAGATTACTATTTATAGATTTGACAAAGCCTGGGCTGGACATGGAATCAATCTTAGTTTGAATTTAAGTTATTTTCTCTAGTTAGAAATGGTAAGTCTCAATTTTTAATTTAAATCTCTGATCTAGTTGAGCTGATACGCCCTTCCTCAAAAAGTAGTGTGAAATGGACCTTGCATTTTTGAAATTCTGCACACTGCATTCCCAAGTAGCACCTCTTTATTCAATCAAACGAAGATAAATCCAATATCACTGCTTATTAAATGTTTGAAATACAACGATATCAAGGTTGTAAGTAGAGAACCTCAGTAGACACAACTCCAAGTCATGGCCGTCATAGTATGTTTCTCTTTGTTAACTAAATGAAAAGAATTCCAAACAACTACGTTATTATAAGGGCTGGTGATGTAAATAAATTAACATATTTTAAATTGTAGAAAATGGCTTTAATACCGAAGTGTTTGCACAGCTGGCTAAAAGTTTTATCATAATTTGGTATTTTTTTGCTTTGTCTCATTCCATTTCTCATGAAAGAAAGCAATCAGTGCCCCGTGCCCCTCATTTTAAACTGCTATAATACTTAACCGGAGACATTTTAAAAATGCTCAAAGTTTTTTTTTTTTTTTTGAAATCAGGCAGTTTAAGAACACTAATCAATTTTGTTAGAAGCATGATAAGCATATTTTGTTCTTTTAAATTGTTGAAATAAACAGAAAACACAAAATTTCACACAAATGGTAATTTATGTGTACTATTTGAAAATTTTTCGTAAAAATTCTAGATGCAGAAAAGAATCACTCTGCAATTTGAATGTTTATAATATATATATATATATATATAAGTGAAAAGAAAGACTGGTGGAAGTGTTTATTTAGGTCACCTATAATGAGATAATGAGATTACTTGCATCAGAGATCAACAATAACTATTTACACCATACGAGGAAGACCTAAATCCAGCCAATATTCAAGCACAAATAGGGGGAAAAAAAAAGAAAAGAAAAACTCAAATTAAGTTTTATTTAATTGATTCAACTTTTTTAGATATTCCTTTATTTATGATCACTTTATTTTAATAAAATATCACAATAAATCAACAAGTTGTAATCTGAATGGTTTTGTAATTGGTCATCATCTTGGCTAATCGCTTGCTCTTCCCCTTCGGAAACAACTTAATCATTATGCATTGTTATAATACTAGCCAACAACAATAACTACATGAACTTCCTCATACATGTTAGCTTGCAAGCTCTTGAAAACAAATTCTTTTCAATTTAGAGCTTCAGTTAATGAAACAATAGTCAAATTCTTTATGAGGCAATTTGCATAAAAAAATCTTATCTGAATGATGCATCTCAATTTCTAAAGGTAATGTTGCATGGCACAATCAATTTTATTTTCTTTGATACGCTTCATTTGAGAACAAAGGAATAATATAAAGATCTATTTTGATCTAGGCTTGGATTGAATTTTAATTAGCTCATATTCTAATAAAAATAACATGTATGTATGCATGAATGAATATATACTTGTATTTATGCATTTGTTTATATTTGAATTTATATATTTGAGCCAATTGTAATTATACTTGGCTTGGCTTGTCTTGAGATCAGATGTGAGGACTTTGAGCTGATCTTGAAATATTGGAGAATTAGCTGCCATAGTCATAATGCATACAGACAAATAGACAATTATTGTTTACACCATACTAGGAATATCTACATCCAGCCAATATTCAAGCACAAATAGGCGGAAAAAATACTCAGATTAAGTTTTATTCAATTGATTTAACTTTTTTAGATATTCCTTTATTTATGATCACTTTATTTTAATAAAATATCGCAATAAATCAACAAGTTGCATCTGTATGGTTTTGTAATTGGTCATCATCATGGCTAATCGCTTTCTCTTCCCCTTCGAAAATAACTTAATCATTATGTATTGTTATAATACTAGCCAACAGCAATAACTACATGAACTTCTTCCTCATACATGATAGCTTGCAAGCTCTTGAACTTTTCAATTTAGAGCTTCAGTTAATGAAACAATAATCAAATTCTTTATGAAGCAATATGTATGAAAAATGTCATCTGAATGATGCATCTCAATTTTTAAAGGTAATGTTGCATGGCACAATCAATTTTATTTTCTTTGATACGCTTCATTTGAGAACAAAGGAATAATATAAAGATCTATTTTGATCTAGGCTTGGTTTGAATTTTAATTAGCTTGAATTCTAATAACAATAACATGTCTGTTTGCATGAATGAATATATACTTGTATTTATGTATGTGTTTTTATTTGAGACTTGGCTTGGCTTGAGATTAGATTTGGGGACTTTGAGCTGATCTTGAGCTATTGGAGAATCAGCTGCCATAGTCATAATGTATCTGCTCTCTTTTTATGCATAATCAAGGAGAAGATTAATGGATTATAAGCACCATTTTCTATGGCAATTTTTTTTATAAATGTACTAGAGTTTTTAGTGACTATGATGATGATCATTCTGAACTTTGGTTGAACTTTGTTTGGTGACATGTATAAAATCTGTAGTGTTATATAATTCATTTACAGCATTATTTGTATCATTTTAATGGTTTTCAAGGGTATATTTAGTATGAATGTGCAGTATACAGAGAAAATTGTTGCACTTGGCAATAAAATAGACTGTCATATGGAGCGCCCTGACGCCCCATGGAGAGTTTCTCAATGCCCAATTCAACAAGATATAACGAAAAATCCAATGACAACTTGGTGCTAGAGGCCAAACCCCCCCAAGATAAAGACCAACGCCCAAGCTAGTGTTGCTGTGCCCCCCATGACTTAAGGTGGTTTTGGTTATTCACGTGGACGTTTTGACCAAGGATGATGCTTAAAAACTTTGAAATAATATTGGAAGATTCTCTCAAACACTTTTGAAACACATGGGAAGAACTCTATGCAGCACTTAGTGTAGGAATTGTGTAAAAGTGGTAAGGAGTGATTCTGATGAGGGTGTTTTCACTTTTGTGCGTGAGTAAGAAAAGAGGATTGTAATCAAGATATTTGGTGACCACAAGAAATATTTGGTGACCATCAAATCTTGGGAACAATGATTGCTTTCTTTCGGGGTTTCCGTTCCTCTAACTTTTGTATCCCGATTTGATTTATTAAATGCAAGTCATGTTCTTATTTAAAAGCATGCTTAACACTTAAAATCTCTCTCCCTTGGATTGAAATTCTTTAAAATCTAGAAAAATCCATGTTAGATTTTTGAACTTTTGATTGAAGAAGCTGTTTTAACCTTTTAACCTTAAATTACATCAATTATAACCATTTGAATAGTTAAAACTAGTTGTAATCTAGGGCTGTTGGAAAAAGACTAAAAGCACAATTGAGTTAAAACATAGGAATTTAGTGGAATATAAATATTGCCAGTAGTTTCTTAAAATCTTTTTGGAGAATGTGGATGCTTGAGAATTCATGTGGGGTTAGGGAAACCTAACTATAATATGAGATTTCAACGCTTGTTATATCTCAGAAGAGAGTAATAAGTAATAGACCTTGATTGAATTGTATATTGTAGAAAAAACCACTTCAAAAAAAAAAAAAAGATTTTATTGAACCAATTCAAGAAAGACATTCACACTATGTTGAAAACTCCTCATTTACTTTAGATTTTCACTTTGAATATTATGATTTTAGACACTTTTTTAACCTCAGAAACATTTAACATTTTGAACTAAGCCTTCGTAAATTAGTAATTGAATTGTTTGAGAAATATCTCGTTCCTAGTGAGATTGATACACAAACTCAAAATCTATATACTACTTGATTAACATGTATATTTGTCTGATAATGAGTGCTTCACCTCACGTCGGACCATGTTTTGGCGTCGTTGTCAGGGAATGACGTTAAGTTTTCAACTTAGGAAAATATTAGTTGAGAATATGAGGTCTACATTTAAAA